GAGATAGGGGGCTGGGAAGGTGGTAGAGTGCTTGCCTTGCATGCATGAGGCCCTGGGTTCGATTCCTCAGCACCACATAAGCAGAAAAAGCTGGAAGTGGTGCTTTGGCTCAAGTGGTAGGGCACTAGCCTTTAGCAGAATTGCTGAGGGACAGTGCTCAAGCCCAGAGTTCAGGCCCCACGACCAACAACAACAACAACAACAAAAAGTAGGTTATATAGGGGGTTGGGAAGGTGGCTCAGTGGTAGAACGCTTGCCTTGCATGCTTGAGGCCCTGGGTTCGATTCCTCAGCACCACATAAGCAAAAAGAAAAAAGCCAGAAGTGGCGCTGTGGCTCAAATGGTAGAGCGCTAGCCTTGAGCTGAAGAGCTGAGGGATAGTGCCCAGACCCAGAGTTCAGGCTCTCACGACTGGACCTAACCTGACATACAAAGAAGGATATGAATCTATTATCTAAGATTAATGGTTTGTTAAGAACATTCTGTATACACATACCCTCAAGGTGAAGAGACTTGGACACTGTGGCCATAAAGTTGACAGCCAGTAAGGAACTGTCCACCATTAAGAAATAAGAGCTCTTAAGCCTCTATCAGTAATAAGCTGCACAAATGAAGGAAACAAAAGACTGAATGCATGGAGAGAGCGAAGGCTTTGAGCAGTGTGTTTCCAGTTTCTGAGTGATCAGTGTAACATGCACACACACAAAGGAAAAATGAATGACAGGAAAGTAAAGCAAGCTTGAGTGAGGGACACAGTGGGAAGGGGAAGGGCAAACAAAGAGGATAACTAGGGATAAACATGGCCAAAGTACTTTATTTGCATATATGAAAGTAGAACAATTGAAGCCTGTTGAAATTGTCTTGAGGGGGATGAGGGAGAATGGTAGAGGCAGTGAAGCTGATTAGGGTATATATGAACTGAAATGTCACAATGGCCAGGCTTAGAAACCGATCTTAGCCTAGTGCCAGTAAATCAAGTCTGTAATCCTAGCTCCTTAGGAGTCTGGGATCTGAGGATCATGGTTCAAAGCTAGCTGGAACAGGAAAGTCCATTTTATCTCCAATTGACTCTCAAAAAGCTGGAAATGGAGCTGTGGCTCAAAGTGTTAGAGCACTTAAGTACAGAAGCTTAGGGATAGCACCCACACACTGAGTTCAAGCCCCAGGACTGGTACAAAAAACAAAACAAAACAATGAACCCCTCTTGTACAACAAATGTATGCTAAATAAAAATATTAAAAAGTATATCCAATTACCAAAACCCAAAGCAACAAAAAAGAAAGTAGATACTGTTGTAGTCACAAAAGAAAGGAAAATTATAGAGCTCATCTTCTTTTCTGTAGGGCCCGTCATGGAATTTGATTACACAATATGTGAAGAATGTGGGAAAGAATTTATGGATTCTTATCTCATGAATCACTTTGATTTGGCAACCTGTGATAACTGCAGGTACTGATTTTTATTTTAGTACCCACTTCCTCCTTTCCACTCCTCTTCCTCACCCTCCTCCCTTCTTTCTTCCCTTCCTTCCTATTTTATTTTTTAACGGCTCTGGTGATTGAACCAGGCCCTGGCCCATGCTAGGTAACCACTCTGCCACTGAGCTACATGCCCAGCCCTCTTGTACTTTATGTTGATATAGGGTTTTCCTAAGTTGTTCATGCTGAGGTTGCTCTGCCTCAGCTTCCTGAGTAGTGGGGAGGACAAGCCAGATGGTATTTTTATTTTTTTTATTTTTTAATTTTTTTATCAGATGGTATTTTTAAATTGCTAAAATCTAATATTTGTGTGGCGGACCAGGGAAAAATAATAGTTATATTTGTTTGTATTATTTTCTTAGTAATTGATTTTTTAAATTATGGTTTTTATTTTAGGGGTGGTACCAAACATTTTTGTGGTCTCCATTTTGCCAAAGAAACATAGAACCCTGGGTTTATCCAGGTTTCTGATATTCCCTATAGAACAGACAGAATGCCTCCAGTCTACCTAAGAAATTTTCTTTCCTTTCTGTTTCCCTTTTTTTCACTCCATCTCTCAGCAGCAAGTTCATAACCATTTTCTTCAGCCTGTCCAAAGGATACTGTTTCTTTCTTATCTCAGTGTGTATATAGGCTTCCTGGATAGAGGAGTGGGGCCTTTGTAAGAGGAAAGAAAGCTCAGATACCTTTCCATTCCCCTTTTCTCCCCTCAATCTTTTTCTCCTTCTTCTAGTTTGTTAATACATGTTAATACATGCTTTCATTTATTCACCAGTGCTGGGGATCAAAACCAGGAGGGTTTTACTATACTTGTAAACAGTTTTAAGATTGAGCCCTTGGTATTTTGAAGCAGGGTCTTGCTATGTAGCTGAGGCTGACCTTGAGTTCATTCTCTTGCCTCTATCTTCCAAGTGCTGGGATTATGAATGTGAACCACCATGCTCTGCATCCTTTTTTTTTTTTTTGTCTGTCATGAGGCTTGAACTCTAGGACTGGCCACTGTCCCCGAGCTCTTCAGCTCTAGGAGAGTGCTCTACTACTTGAGCCACAGTGCCACTTCCTGCATCCGTTTTTATATCATCCTAGAATGATCCTCGTTACTGTCTGTGGTGCACCTATTTCTCCTGTCTGCTTAGCCAAGTCCCGAGTTTGTGTCTTTTGCCCATTGAAGGCCTCTGTTGTACCTATAGCACTAGATGTCCCTCCCCAGGATAGGGGGCACACCAGGAGAGTCATCATCACCATGGCTTGTCGCTAAGTGGAATCCCTAATGGACACACTGTGGTAGTGATTTCCCTGGTTCCCAGGATCAGTAACGAGCTGGACATGTTCCAACTCTCCAGTTATTATGAACTCACTTCCCATCAGTGCAGTGGTCCTAGGACCACTCTTTTTCGAGGCCTGTTCCAGCTTTGAGGAACAGGAGAAAATGCAGGGATTGTTAATGTCAGGTTAAAGAAAGTTGTGTAGGGGCTGGGAAGGTGGCTCAGTGGTAGAGCGCTTGCCTTGCATGCTTGAGGCCCTGGGTTCGATTCCTTAGCACCATATAAGTAAAAAGAAAAAAGCTGGAAGTGGCGCTGTGGTTCAAGTGGTAGAGTGCTAGCCTTGAGCTGAAGAACTGAGGGACAGTGCCCAGGCCCAGAGTTTAGGACCCAGGACCGAACCCCCCCCCAAAAAAAAAACGTTGTGTATTAATCTGGAAAATACTCTTTTGTTTAAACTTAATTAGGAATGCAACTTCCCCTTACCCCCATTCTGTTACGGCATCTTCGAAGATTATGATTTTAGTACAGAATAGTCTATGCATCCTTTCCCTTTCATCTACCCTTCCAAATTACTTGGTAGCTTCCTTAGAGTTATTTCTAGTTTTAGGTAGGTCTTGTGATAGGAAAGTTTGATTTCCCTCTTCCCCAGCCTGTACTTTTCCTCTTAGTAATGGCCAGCTTTGTTGCTTAGCTCTCTCTTCTGAACTCTGTTTAATTCCAAATCCATCTGGCTATGCTCAAGGCATATCCCACACCCACTCCCTTCTCACCCTCTCCCACTACTGACATAATACAGTCCACCATCAGCGCTTCCTGGACCACTGTGTTGTCCTCTTAACTGGTCTCTGCCAGACCTACCCCACTGTGTATCCCTAGTAGTCCCTCTCCAATGCCCCAATTGATGTCATCACCATCACTTATGAGGCCTGTGTGTGCCTCTGACTTTTCCTCCCTCCCCTCCTCCTCCACATTTACTGTAAGCATTCTGGTTACACCTGCCCCTTTCTCTGAGTTCTAGAATCTTGTACTGCCCCAGAGCATCAGCACTTGCCTGCCCTCCCTTCTGCTAGGGTGTGCTGTTGCCCAGACTTCGCAGGGCTGTGCTCATGTGGTCCCCTGCAGACTTCTCTGATTACTTCCTATCTGAGAATATCTATCCTTCACTGTGCTCTTTTTCCTATCGCATTTCAACCTGTCATTATGCTTGACTGACTTCTATCTAGAATGTAAGCCTCATTAAGACAAAGCTTTATGCAGTTCTTAAAGCAAGACTATATCCCTTGAAGAGTACCTGGTAAATGGATGGTAAACAAACGAATGGGGCCTGTGTAGTTGACTCTGTCTCTGATTTTACCTGGCTTTTGACAACATCCAGAACCAGCTGGACACCAGCTGCACTGAGATTGAACCACACAGGTCATCTTGACCTTGGAATTTATTTTGTATTTTCTTTTTCTCACATTTGGTCTACTATTCTAAGTAATTTCAAACTCAGGAGAAAGAGCAACTTTAAATTGTTAGGTAACTTAAGAATAAGTAAAAGATGAAGTATTTATGTTAGAATTTTTGTGCTAGGAGAATTACAGCTAGGAAGAAGTGTTTTATGTCTTTCTGGTGTGCATTCCCCTGGATTGCTGGGTTATATGAAAACTTAGTTTATTTAAAATAATTTATATAATGGACTTTAATCTGTTTTCAGAGATGCTGATGATAAACACAAGCTTATAACAAAAACAGAAGCAAAGCAAGAATACCTTCTGAAAGACTGTGATTTGGAAAAAAGAGAACCAGCTCTGAAGTTCATTGTGAAGAAGAATCCTCATCATGCACAGTGGGGTGATATGAAGCTCTACCTAAAACTGCAGGTCTTCAATAAGTTGTATTCATGAGAAAGAAATTATGTAGTACTGAGGAATTGAACCCAAGGCCTCATGCACACTAGGCAAGCACTCTATCACTGTGATATTCCCAACCCCTCATGAAATTTTTAACAAAAACTACTTCTAGTTTGTTCTCATTTTGCTTACAGAGTGGAAAGGTCTCTTTCTTGTTTGGCATATACATCATAGTCATGTGTAATGATATTTAGTAGCCATATTTTCTTATTTTGCCTTTTGCTGTAGCATTTTGGAACAAATATGTAGGTGGTGGGTAAGGTTTGTATGGTTCTGATTTAAGAGTGATACTTCATTCTCCTCCCCATCCCACAGTCCTCCACACACAAAAAAAACCAAAAACAAAACAAGTTTTTTTTCCCAGTACTTGAACTCAGGGGCCTTGCACTCTTACTTGGCTGGCTTGCTCAGCTAGCACTTATCTAGTTGAGCCATACTTCCAGTTCAGTTTTTTACTGGTTATTTTGGAGATGGAAGTCTAGGGGCCTTTTACGTTCTAAGTCTTCCTTCTAATTTTAAGACTTTGAATTATATACCTCTACTCTTTTTAAGAGAATACAGAATATACCTAGGTGCATATGGCTTGTGTCTTAATACTAGCTATTCTGGAGGCAGAAATTGGGAGGATAGCCATTTAAGATCAGCCCAGGCAAAGAATTACTAGCAAGACCCCATCTCATCCAATGAAAGCTGAATGTGGTGATAGACACCTGTCACCCCAGTTACACAAGAACAGGAAGGGCTGGGAATGTGGTTTAGTGGTACAGTACTTGCTTAGCATGCATGAGGCCCTGGGTTTGATTCTTCAGTACCACATAAACAGAAAAAGCCTGAAGTGGTGCTGTGGCTCAAGTAGAGTACTAGCCTTGAGCAAAAGAAGCTCAGGGACATTGACCAGGACTGGCAAAAAAAGAAAAAAAAAAAAAGAATAGGACGATCTCAGGCCAGGATGGACAAGGCATAAACATAAGACTCTATTCAAGAAATAACTAAAGCAGGGGCTGGGAAGATGGCTCAGTGGTAGAGCGCTTGTCTTGCATGCCTGAGGCCCTGGGTTCGCTCCCTCAGCACAACATAAGTAAAATGAAAAAAGCCCGAAGTGGCACTGTGGCTTAAGTGGTAGAGCGCTAGCCTTGAGCTGAAGAGCTGAGGGACAGTGCCTAGGCCCAGAGTTCAGGCCCCATGACCGGAACCCCCCCCCAAAAAAAAAAAAAAACTAAAGCAAAAAGAGCTAAGGTGTGACTCAACAAACCCAGTGCCACCAGAATGTGTATGTCTCTGTGTGTGGACAAAATGAATTAAGCTTGGGATATACTCATAATATGTTAAGGGAACCAAAATATCAATCATTGCAGTCATATTTTAATTTTCCCTCTCCTCCCTTCTTTCTTTTGATGGTTTGAAATCAGGGCTTGGATGCTATCCCTGAGTTCTTCTGCTTAAGGCTAGCACTCTATCAGTTGAGCCGTAGCTCCACTCCTGGCTTTTGTTAATTGGAAATAGTCTTACGGGCTTTCCTTCCCAGGCTGGCTTCAAACCCTGATGCTCAGATCTTAACCTTAGTAGCTAGGATTACAGGCATGAGTTACTGGCAACAACTAAATTCTAATTCCTAAAAGCAAGAGGGCAGTTTCTAAGATGTTATTAGTTTCATATTGTTCACATTTGAAATACTTAGTTTCCAGTAAGTAAATCTGTACTTGAGACAGATGACTCTTCGATAGCTGTGTGCTTGATAACTAATTTAATAATCTGTGCAAAGGGAACTTCATTGTGTGCTGTCTTGTAGATTGTGAAGAGGTCTCTCGAAGTTTGGGGGAGTCAGGAAGCACTGGAAGAAGCAAAGGAAGTGCGACAGGAAAACCGAGAAAAAATGAAACAGAAGAAGTTCGATAAGAAAGTGAAAGGTGAGTGGCCCATCTTGTGTCATGATGGGGTTTTACAAAGTAGCAGAAAGCCTTTAGGGTTTTTTTTTTTTAAGACAATGCTACCCATAGATTGAATGACTTAAAGTTTGCCTTCAAGTAAGTAGGTTAAAGTTTGGCAACTCAACTTCCTCATACTGGGTTTCACACCACCATGCTAATGTAAATCGTTTTTATATATACAAATGGTGCCGGGAAAAGGATGGTATCCCTGGTTAAGAACTTGACACCTAAAATTTAAAATTTGACATTTAAATGTCTTTCTCTGTCTCTGTCTGTCAGTCCTGGAGCTTGAAGTATGGGCCTGAGCTATTTTTGCTCAAGGTTAGCGTTTTCCACTTGAACCACAGCACCATTTCTGGATTTTTTTTTTTTTTTTTTGTGTGTGTGTGTGCTTAATTGGACCTCAATCTCAGCCTCCTGACGAGTTAGGATTACAGGCATGAGCCACCAGCACCCAGCTGCATGATATATGATCAAGTGTGAGAAAAAAAATAGTACTTAAGCTGGGCACCAGATTTACCAATTTACCACCCAAAACCCAGAAGTGTAGCTATGGCTCAAGTGGTAGAGCCCTAGCCATGAGCATAAAAGCTCAGGGACAGTGCCCAAGCCCTGAGTTAAAGCCCCAGGATTGACACACATTAAGGAGGAAAAAAAAAGGCTCACCAATAAACGTTTCTAATTGCTTCAAATGAAAAATCATGCCAATTCTCTTTTTTTTTTGGGGGGGGGTCCAGTTGTGGAGCCTGAACTCTGGGCCTGGGCGCTGTCCCTCAGCTCTTCAGCTCAAGGCTAGCACTCTACCACTTGAGCCACAGTGCCACTTCCGGCTTTTTTCTTTTTGCTTATGTGGTGCTGAGGAATCGAACCCAGGGCCTCATGCATGAAAGGCAAGCACTTTACCATTGAGCCACCTTCCCAGCCTCATGCCAATTCTCATTAGACTAAAAGGAACTTTTTTTTTTGGAGACAGATCTCAACTAACTTTTCTTGGGTGGGTCCTGACATCATGACCTTTCTGCTTCTGTGAACCGAGTACTGAGACTTTAGGCTTGTGCCACATCCAGCTACAGCTAGAATAAACTGATGCTAGTTGGTCTGAGCACTTTTATTTTATACATTCCAGGAAGGTATGTATAAAACGTAGGAACAGGACCCAAGCTTTTTTTGAGTGGAATTCTTCATATATAGTCATTCCTCCATCAGTGCATTTATTTCACCATGCAACTCTTGGTTCTTTTGTCTCTGAATTTGTTTGTTCATCCATCCATGTGTGTATGAGTCCATAAATCCATCCATCCATCTACCTCCCACCTCTCCCAAGAATGTTTCAGGTGTTCTCCTTTTGGGCACTGGGCCATTGTAAGTGCTAGAGCCAGTGTGTCAGAAGTGTGACAGGTACTGGGTGGTAATGAACAAGGGCGCTTCCTGCCTTGGCCCCCAAAGTACTGGGATTATAAGCATCTGCCACACTACCTAGCTTTCAAATCTTTTAAAAGTTTTCTGCCTGGTTAGTTGAGGATAAGCGTTGGGTTGGGAGAAGTGGTAATACTGATTAAGATTCATTGTACTTATAAACCGATATGTTGAACTGTCAAATATTGATGAGCTAGGTAGACCACTGGTGAGAAATGTAGACAGATGGTGCTGGTTTCTAGTAAGTGAGAAACTGGGAAGTCACCATCTTGTTCATTTCCAGTGAGCACAAAGTGTTGGAATGTGCAGTGTAAATTCTGCAAAAGCCATTAGTATCATATAGGCCAAAAGTTCCAAATACTTGTCACATGCTATGTTTGCTGTTTTCCTACCTGCAGAATAAAATGAAGCAAAATAAGTTGTCATTGGCAATTACTAAAATAATGTGACATTTTATAGTGAAGAACTCAACAGACCTAGTATCACCTGTATGAGCTAACATGAAGCCACATCAGCACCTAATGGTGATCTTGACTTTCTAGTTTTCTTGCATGTAACTTGCCTCTTATAGTAGGGACTCCAGACTTGTACACATGTGATTTAAGTCACACTCCCCTTTCCTTCTCTTAGTGGACCTCCTTTGCTCCTGTGGCATCCTGTTTTCCTTTCCATGTCCACATGTACCCTGCTGTTACCTGTTCTCTTTTGCTGCATTTCTAACCACTACCCATTCTACACCCATTTCTGATTCTCACTGCATCCCTCTCCAGCAATGACTTCAGTGATTTCACAGGCAAGCAGGTGAGGTAAGAAAGGAAAATGTGTAATCAACTTTGATTTCTGTCGTAAAATTAAGGTGTATCATAGAATTTAAATATGCACATGTGCTGACAGCTTGGATTCATTTTTGGATTTAGCAAAGAAACTTGTTTTTTCTTAGAATTGCGGCGAGCAGTAAGAAGTAGTGTGTGGAAAAGAGAAACAGCTGTTCATCAACATGAGTATGGACCAGAAGAAAACTTAGACGATGACATGTACCGCAAAACCTGTACTGTATGTGGCCACGAACTGACATATGAAAAGATGTGATTTTCTTTTTAGATCAGTGACCTTTTTTTTAAAACAGACTTTTATACTTAAGGAAAATTAAATTGTTTTACATTGAGACTCACAATGTGGGCTTTACAAATGAAACACTTTGTAAGTGATTCTTCACCAGGTGTTCTTTCACCTTAAATGCAAGTTTTAGTTAGGGTTCAGCTCGACTGGCTGAGGAAAGAGGTGATGTCTGTGGGAGCCAAATGGTAGAGGCAGCAGGTCAGAGCTCACACTGAGGAACAAGCAAACCCTAGACTATAGCAGGAGGTAAAGCTTCCAATGAAGGCCAAAGCTGACTAAACTGGACACAACCCATAAGGATGGTGGTACATTACTGTACCAGTCTCTTAAGTCAGGTTTTTGGGGACTACTACTTTTATTTTTGGTGCCAGTACTGGGACTTGAACTTCAGGCCCATGCTTCCACTTCTAGCCTTTTGATGGTTAACTGGACATGAGTCTCTTGGATTTGTCTGCTGGGCTGGTTTTGAATCATGATCCTCAGAGCCTCCTGCGTAGTAGTTAGGGTTATAGTTAGTTGTGAGCCACCAGCACCCAACAACTACTTCTGTCCTGAAGAGGGAGGAACCATTGCTGGAAAAAATGCTGATGTACATACAATAGGAATAAACAGTAAACCATATTTTCTGCACTCTCAGAGCCCGTTGCCAGAGGGTTTTATAGACAGCTCTTCTGAAATGCTGTGTTGAAAAGGAAAACAGCTATCTCTAAAACTAAGTTTATCCAAAGTACTGCCAAGTGCCTTACAGGTATTCTCATTTAATTTGGGGTGGGAGGGGGGAGGAGTTGGGGGGAGAGACAACTTCCTGTTTTCTTATTTAGTAGCAATTTCACCCCAGACATTTGGCAAAGTTTAAAAAGATTTTCTCAGTCCTATCAAAAGGATTACAAAAGTGCAGTTAAAGGATTTAGGCATCATTATTTTGATGAAATTCAAGTTGAAACAGACTGGATATTTCAAATTGTTGTTTGATATCAGTATCTCTCCACTCTAAACAGGAGAAACAAGAAGTTTATACATTTACATCTTTCTAGACTAGCCATTGGGAATTATACTTGGAGAAAACCCAAACTTAAACCAAGCCAAACTCAAGTAATTAGGTTCTTGGGACTATATTATTAATTGTTCTGGATATAAAAGTTCAACACAGAAATGGTCAATGTATTTTTCAAGCAGGTCTTTTTTTTCATGTGTTATAAACATTAAAACTCAGTAAAAATGGACTTTGAATGGGTAGCCAGATTTGTGTATGTGTGTGAGGGAAGCTTATGGTCTGATGACAGCAGACTAACCAGGGGTTCAGGCTATGAGGGAGGAGCATCAGTGTACAGTGAGAGACAAAGGGCTCTCAGCCAATGGATCCAAGTTCAAGTTCCACTTCCTGGCTCTGGCCCCTGGACAACTTTCTTCATTGGGCCTGTTTTTTATGTCAAATAATCAGAATCTCTTGGAGTACTATTTAAGATTTAATATGATGAATCTTAAATCTGAATTATAATAGTCCTCTACATAATGAGCCAAGGCCAATATTGAGATTTATCTATCTGAGGTTTATTTCATCAGTCCATTAACTTCATTCAATTTAAGTTAATCTTGGTATCCAGATACACCCAAGTCAAATCTGCTCTACCAGGATGGAATGGCTTCTCCCATCTTCATTTTTAAAGGTATAAAAAGGACCTAATACAATCATGCTAAATGGCATAAGGATAATTTAACAGAATTTAGTTTATTGCATGGTATGTGTGACAGGCTATTTTTGTCTATGTAAGCTTCACTAGCAACTATTGAACATCTGCTCTTTTACTTCTTCAAAATTTAATCCCTAGTTCAGTTTTACCATACCCGTAGCTTGCTAGACAGGGACAGAGCACGGCCACGGCATGAAGTTGTCAGAAGCAACCATTACACATGAAAAGAGGATTAACTGGAAGGAAATGAAAACTATAAATATCTCTAGAATGTGTAACTAGCCAGACTTGTGTACTGTGAAAAGGATTACAATACAGTTCAAGGCAAAGTTACCAGTGCTTTAAGATAGTTGTCTTTTTGCTTTTTGAGGACAGAAACCAGTTGCTTAAGCAATGGGGAGAAGAATTGTGTCATCAGAATATTTAGCCAACAACCTGCGTTTGGTTCTCTTTCTTGTAACTTGCCAAGCAACATTGATCTATTGAATACTTATTGACTGAATTAAACGGTATATTTAAAAATCCTAGACACTGCTGGGTACTGGTGTAATCCTAATCCTAAACCTAGCTACTCAGGAAGTTGAGCTCTGAGGATCATGGTTCAAATCTAGCCCAGGCAGAAAAGTCTGTGAGATTCTTATCTCCAATTAACCAATAGGAAACTGGAAGTGGAGCTGTGACTCAAAGTGGTAGAGTGCTAGCCTTGAGTAAAAGAGCTCAGGGACAGCGCCCAGACTGAGTTCAATCCCCATGATGAACCCAACCCCCCCCCCCCAACAAAACAAAAACCCTAGAAATTCCCTTCCAATGAATGGACTTGATTCTGTATCCTTTTATTAAGATTTATGGTACAGTGACTAACCATATTGCTCAAATATGGAAAGGACTTAATGCATCACGAACTTCGGATGTAATTAGGAAAAAGATATCTATCTTGTACAAATGCACAAAAATACCACCAATAAGTTGTAAGATTAACAGTAATTTTTTGTAAGGTTAATGAATTTTAAAAACCCTAGAAATTTGAAATGTCTCAGGTAATTCATTATTATTTTACAAAACCCTCATTTCATTTAAGCCTTGATGTCATATAGCAAATAGGCTCAGGAATGAAGTTATCTGAATACAATCCATTGCCAAAACCCACTTCTAATTCTAAGAACAGTTTTAGCCAATCTACCTAATTCTAGTTCCTCAGGTGCATGTAGGCAAATGACCAGATGCTATAAAACAATGGTTCCCCAAACTGGAACCACCTGGAGAAACCTGTTTCAAACATAATGGTGTTTTAAAATGACTCTAGAGCTTCCCAGGTAATTTAGGCAAATTTGGAAGGTGGACTCCAAATAGTAACACTTTGCTATATAAAGAAGTAGGGTTTTTAAAGTACTACGGAAGAAAAGTATTTTGAAGAGAAAATACTAAGGGAGGTATCTGAGCCTTCAGTAAGAAACCACCTATTTAAAAATAGACTAAGATAATAAGTAATGAAATAACAAAGTTTATAAAACATATTTTTAGTTTTATTTCAGCCATGTTAGGATATCCAGGAGCTGTGACAAGTTATGCTACCTGGAAATAAGCTCACCATTCTATCCATGACTTTGTAAGCTGAACCTCTATTGTTTCACATACCTCAAACCTGTTGTTTTGTGCCTTAAGGAGAGAAAATATCAAACTGGTCACTAAAAAGTTGTGTCTGTCACATATATAATACAACACGGTCATTATCACATTGTCACTAAGAAATATTGGCCTGTTAGAGGCAAGTAAGGATAACATAATACCCCTCACTTCCCCTTTCCCCTTTGTTTCCTTTAAGAAATGAAAGGCTACAAGAAAGCAAGCATCAAACCATCAAAAATAAGACAAATTATTTTAAGATATTAGAAAAAAATCTCAACGTGAGGGAAAATTGTCATCCTTAGGCCTGAAGAGCACAGAACTGCTGGAACACAGCCAGGATGTGAGGGTCTAACTCTGCGGTGAAGAGCAGGTTCTCCAGGGTCACCATGTACTGCTGGATTATTTGGTGATGCTGTGGACACACAAAACAGGGTGCTGGTCAGAAAAAGCAAATAAGCAATCTACTAGACAATGTCCCTTGGCAGCCCACCCATACTGAGGAAGGAAGGAAAGAGGTAGGAACAAAAACAGTTCCTGCTGATAGGAGTGATGGGTTCCTATAAAGTCTCCAAAACAGTAGAGGCAGTGGGGAAAGGGATACTTAGTAGCTGAAGCATCTCAGTCCTCAGGAGTTTCTGTGGAAATGCAGTTCATGATGCAAGGCAGTGCTTGCAGCTATTGCTACAGACCAGCTTTTCTGGGTCTCCCCATACATGGTGACTTGTTAGAAAGCAGCCTCAGCAGGACTGAGCTATGAAGCCAAAACATGCCTATTTGCTGTAGGTAGACTCAAATATATTTGAATATTTGTACATGACCAGGGGCTGTCAAAGCTTTTTAATTATCAGTAACTGAAAAATAGGGAATTTCTATTGGGAAGCTTAAAAGGATTGAACTTTAAAAAAGGCTTCTGCATTAATGACTTTTGTAAAATAAATGGACATTGCCTGAAGGTCAGCTCCTCTCTCTTATACATCTTTAATGTCAGGATAACTAAGAGCAGTGTTGGCATTTTGTTTCTACAGAGACCTCAGCTTACTTTGACTTCTATAGGCACTGTTTATCAGCTATTGTGACATTTAATTACCTATAAAATTATTGTTCCCTTACATGTTTCCCTCTACAGTTTAGATTACAGCTGGCTCCCTAGCAATGGAAAATAGCAGTTAGGGTTTGAATGATATAAAGCCAATTTAAGCCTAAATATTCTGATGCATAATAGTAGCTGTTGAAGAGTCTACAGAGTCTGGCAAATTTTATAAGGATTTATTCGTTTTCTTTTTTTAGTGCTGGAGATTACTGACAGCTTTGTGCATGGTAGGCAAATATTTCACCTCTGAGCCATATCCCTAGCCTGATGAAGATTTTTCTTAAAAAAAATAGGAAACCTTTGTAGCTGAGAATAGTGTTTGTCATCTACTCAAAGCAGTTCTCAAACCTGTAGGAAGATCTGCTGGAGTCTCTCTATACAGTTCTTATACCACGGAGTTAATATACTGGTCCCATCGGTTTCACATCGTACCAAGTGCTCAGTCAAGATCATGATAAAACGCTAGAAAGGACAAATGAAGTATTAGACGGAGAACCTTACATTTCAGAAATAAACTAATAACTAAGGGCCCTAAAAGTACTGCTTATACCACTTAGTCTATACTGTACTTTTGCCTTTCATGATTCACTGAATACTGTCCACCTAAAAAGGAAGACCAGTAATAATTTTGAGTTGGTACATCCTTCTTGGTAATATAGAAAATAATGTCTAAATTATTCTTGCAATATTACTTCCTGACTCTTGGTAGTATTAAAAGGCATCTGTACCCAAAAATGTCCATAGGAAGTATAGCAATCATCTAAATAATCAATAGTAAATAATTAAACATGGATAGGAATTTTAAGTGCTAAGTAATAGCACAGACCTCAGAGATAAATATGGTAGATTCCGAGTGGTGACACTTTATTTCCTTTGTGAATTTTTATATCTTAAGCTCTTCTAAATGAACATATATTCCTTTTATGATCAAAGCAACATTTTTACTAGGTATGATGGTATACATCTGTAATCCCAGCACTTATTAGAGACTGAG